CGTTGATTTCAGAGCTGCTGTTCAGCATGGGCGAACAGAATCTTGAAATCAGGCACTAACACATCATGGACAAAAGCTTTGCTTTGTATAGAATGACATTGCACATTAGGATAACTGGAATGAGGGAGTAGGCAATAAAGGATTAACATTAGTTCTTTTTAATAAAGGATGAGGAGAGGATTTTGCATGGCAGAAAAAGGAATGTTTTACATGGTATTTTTTTCTTTATTTAACAATTTTTCCCCTTTTTTCACACACATTCAAGCTAGATCTGACAAGTGACCCGGGTACTGCTTAGAATTATTAAATGTTTCTGTGAGGAAGGTTGGATGTGTAATTATACCAGGTTAGCCTGCTGAAAGTAGCAATTCTACAGCTTTTGAAGGAATCACCTTATAATTTGAGCTGAAAGATACATTCAATATTGGAGTTTCTAGCAACAACAGTGAATTGCCTTCAGAAGTTACATATCTGGACAGTAATCAGTTCATATGGAAATACACTGGCAATCTAAAATCCAGCTGAAAACTTCAAGTTAATCTGAACATCAAGAGAGAAGAGTAACAGATTTATAACCACTTTTTAGGTAGTAACGGTCTTTACGGTATTTTTTTTTACATGGTGTTTCAGTTGAGATGAGTTCAAGAAGGATATCAAACATTCTGACTTTTGTATCACATCTAGTACTAGTATTTTTTAGAACTATAACCAGAAGGATCATAGATTTTAAATCTTGTCTCCGCTATCTACGCTTTGCTGTGTTTCATTTCTAACTTTGTGAAAGGCCTTTGTGCTTGCTCCTCAATAAATTTAGGAGCATGTGGTGTGATTAGGAATCTTTCCAAATGCAGAGTTGCCCCTTTTAAGGCACTGAGCATATTTGCAGATCCATCTCTGCACAAATGATCATATCTACTGTTAGATTATTGCAGTGACATCTAAGCATTTGTACTACAGGTAAGAATAATTTGCAAAGGAGGGAATTTTTGCTTGGATTACTTCATATTTTACAGCTGCTGGAATGTCTTTTTTCAATAGATTCGTTCAATTTCCATGTCTAGTCAATGAACCATAACATATGCTAAAGTAATGAGGTTATTAAACCTTTATTAATTTGAAATACAGAAGTTGTGTTTTAAAAAATAGTATTTGTTTTCTTACAGTGGTGAAACTAATATTGAACAAACAATGATTGATCAATGCTGTTGATCACCGTTTCCCACAGCATTCTCCTAGAGAAGCTGGCGGCTCACGGCTTAGACAGGTGTACTCAGCGCTGGGTAAAACACTGGCTGGACGGCCGGGCCCAGAGAGTTGTGGTGAATGGAGTTCAATCCAGTTGGTGGCCGGTCACGAGCGGTGTTCCCCAGGGCTCAGTACTGGGGCTGGTCTTGTTCAATGTCTTTATCAATGATCTGGATGAGGGGATCGAGTGCTCCCTCAGTCAGTTTGCAGATGA